GGTCCCGCCGCCCCCCCACAGGCGCCCCCCCCAAGCCGGACCCTGCCGGTGACGACCCCCCCGGGAGCCCTACCTTGGTTGATGGCCAAGGTCTCCGAGTGGTAGTTCCTGGCGTTGGCATTCCGCACCATGTACTCGGCGATGGGCAGCCGGGCCGTCTGCAAGGCGTGGCCCTGGGCCTGCTGCAAGCTCCGCTCCTGCCAGGCGCAGTCCAGCGTCACCCCCTTGCCCAGGCCCAGGCTGGGAGACCCGCAGAGCCCAGCTGCTGCCTCCCTCCAGTCCCGGCGAGCTGCCAGCCCAGATCAGACCCGGGGCAGGGCCAGAACAGGAGATCACCAAGCGATGCCTCCCGTCGCCCCCTCCCATCCTCTGGCAGAGGCCAGGGACCCCAGCCCTGCCCACCAAGTAGCCGTGTGCCCCTAAACGGGACAAGTGTTGAATTTCTGAGCCACTGATGCGGAGAGCCGGACGGCAGTGCCCGCGCCGTGGAGAAGGCGACACGCCTGCCAGCAGTGGGGCTCTGCCAGGGCGGGCAGGTGGGGCCTTGGGGTCTGGACGCGCCGGGCGCAGCTCCCCGCCGGCACTCACCTTCTGAATGGTTTCATCCACAAGCCCGCCGAGGACGTACACCTTGTGGGGGTCCACGTCCCGCAGCGCTAGAAAGGGAGCAGAGCGCACGCGTGCCAGGCCGGCCACAGGGGCAGTGTGTGCTCCAGCCCCCGCGCTCTCCCTGCGCCAGCTGGCCCCGCAGAGCCCCCGGCGCTGGGGTCACACCCTGGCGGTTACCAAGGAAATGGCCGTGACACGGGCAGCTGCCTGCGTCTGCAGAGAGCCTAAGGCCACTGCTCGGGTGGGCTGAAAACCGAAACGTCTGGGCGCAAATTGCACCGGCAGCACCATAACTCTGTCACTGCCGAGCATTTGACACAGCGTGTGCCCCCCGTGCCCAAGGCCCCAGCTGTGCCTAACAGCTTCTCCCACCCGCGTTCCCCGGCTCAGGGGAGCCACAAGCGATTATTCCCCAACAGCCGCCCTGGGGACGCTCCAGCGCCTGTCTTACCTGCATGGTTCATTCCGTGAGCCCCTTTATTTCAAGGTCGCTCTGACACCGCCACCCAATCTCCCGCCTACTCCGCGGAGTTCTGCCGAGTGCAGGGTCTCGCCACGCAGCAGAGGGACCGCCCGTGTAAACCCCCAACTCCGCTGATCTTAATGGGCCTTCGGCACCTAAGTACCTTCGCGGATTTGGGGCCAACCCTTGATTCATTGCTGGGACGTCTGGAGCTCTGCACCTGACCCAGGCGGAGACCAGCTGTCCCCATCGGTACGGCAGCGGCCTGACACGCTTTAAGAAACCCCTTCAAACCCATCCTGGGTTGGTTGTTCTTTAAAACCAATTCCAGGTTTTAACGCCGCGAGTTCCCTCCCGCCGGGCTCCCCCGCCAGCCAAAGGACTCACCGTTCTCCGAGTCAGGAGTGAGGTAGACAATCCTCTCCACAGGAAACAGGTCAAGGTAACTTTCTGGAGTGGTGTCCATCTGAAACAGACAGCACCGCTAGCTAGCCGCCACTGGCCTCGCCACACACAGCGGGTCAGTTCGTACGGCTTCTGGCCATTCAGACCCACAAGAGTAAGCGCTTTTCGGGACAAACTGAGACACGTTCCACGCCTGGCTACGCCGTCGGTAGTTTTCAAGTTTGGTTCCATTCCTTCCTGAGCAAAATGAGTTCCCATGTACGGAAGGGCAGAGCTCAGGCAGACCCCTATCTAACTGCACTGCCTCTGCGGAGAATTCGAGCCTCCAACTCCCCACTTTGTGACTGTGACTGGCTGGAACAGAGCCGAGTATTCTCCAGAGGCCAGAGCCCCAGTGCCAGGTACGGGACAACGCGCAAGCCAGAGAGACGGGCCCTGCCTCAAAGAGCTTGACGGGCCTGGCTCATTCCTCGGGCTTTCTCCAACGGAGAGGCCAGCTGGGGAAAATTGGAGTTTCAGCCCCACCGATCGCCTAGTAAGGCAAGCCACATGGGCCAAAATTTCCCAGGTGCCAGGTTTGAAGACAGGGTTACACAGGTTAACTAGGGGCACAGTTTGGCCTACAAAGCCTTAATTGCGGCAAGAGCGAGTGTCGTTTGCGTGGCAGCACGTTAAAAAGTCTGCGACTGCACTGCTACGGCTCACAGCAGCACCACCACCCCCACCGATCGCCTAGTAAGGCAAGCCACATGGGCCAAAATTTCCCAGGTGCCAGGTTTGAAGACAGGGTTACACAGGTTAACTAGGGGCACAGTTTGGCCTACAAAGCCTTAATTGCGGCAAGAGCGAGTGTCGTTTGCGTGGCAGCACGTTAAAAAGTCTGCGACTGCACTGCTACGGCTCACAGCAGCACCACCACGCGCCGCGTCCACCGGGCCAGTAGCCCCGGGCCATCGACG